AATCTCGGTTACAATCGCCCCACAATTATATCAAATCACCTGGGAACAAGTTTCGTGAGAGACAATCCTACACGACTCCGTGCAATCTAGAAATTAAGGAAGTAACACTGTAAATAAGATAATTGAATGTCAATTCACAGACAGATAGCAGTAATTTTAAAGTTCTCTACTTGAATAAAAATACTTTAAAAAGTTTTTTTTTTTTTATATTTAAATTACAATGATTTGATTGGGTAGGCAGTGAAGCAGGGGTTCTAAAAACAGCTAATTATAGATATGTCGGCAGTTATAGACCAACACTGGAGTAGATCTTAACGAATGCAAAAATAATTATTCAAATTGATTTATATTTGACGAATTAGTACACAAAAAAATACAAGCAAACCTAAGCGAACTAAAAATCAATTAAAAACAGGAATTATGATATTTGTGTTTTTGTGAGTGGCAACATTGTACTATTTCCCGCATTTTTTGCTGCTTCTGTCTTTCCAGGCAAATTATCATATTGAAGACTAGGCAGCATGGTCTCCGGCCTTAGGCTGTTCCACAATGGAAAAAACATACTAAAAAAAAAGCTTCTGTCTTTGTGCCTATTTTTTGCGTGTATAAGTTGTCAACTTTATTAATCACTTAAATATAGAATACCTTAGAGTACCTACATTATTTCATTCATGTAGGCGTGAAGTATTAAAAATATTAAGATAGTTTTATTAATATTTTTTATTATATTGATTTTTTTAATGAAATTAAATTAATAATACAAATACTATCAATATACTTAAATAACGTACCTACTACCTAATTCGTAGCCAAAAAACAATAATACACAACATCATTGTCACTTATTCCAAGATGCACTTGATCTTCAATTGTATACCCATGCTGTAATCTAAGAATCATTTACTTTCAGCCACTCCGCAAATTATTGCAGCTCCATCTAATCAAGCGTTGTCCTACATTACACTTACCGATTCGTGTACTACATTACTACCTTATAAACAACATCTGAAACCCTCCTAAAGAATTAAATCTGCTCCCAAAAGTACTTCACGCCCAATAAACAGAATAACACCGTTTTAAAAGAAACCGTTTTATCCATCTGCGCAAATTTGCATATATGAGCATCCAGTAAAAGCAATTATCAACATCCGATCGTTGTTTCCGTACAAGCCGATGCCAACGATCAGCCATTTGACCTCAGCCGTAAAGCTATAGTCACATTGTCTACTGAAAACAACACGACTGAATAAAAAAAAAAGAACGAACGTCATAAAAAAACAACGTACTTATATCTACAATCAAATTATATTTACTTTACATTGTATAATTAAAATTAAAAGTAAAATCTAGTAAGCATCTTTTATAATTCAAATGCATAATCCGTAATAATAAACTAACAAAAACTCCATTTTAGGTTTCAGATGTGGGACTTATTAAAACTATGATTACATTTCTTTTGTACTTAATCGACTAAGGTCGGGTGCTTAATAACTGCTATATACAAACAGATCTAATGAAGCGATGGCATAGCCATGATGCGATTTGTACAAGCTTTTTTTATTTCAAATTGTTTACTTTTTTCGCTTTAATGCGCTTAGTCGCGATGCTTCTTTTTTTGTTGTTTAACGAACCCTAAGTTTTCACCGTAAACTGCATCTGTTTAAAAACTTTTTAAGTCGTTCTCTTTTACCCGTCTAATTTAGACGCTAGTTGGCACTTCCTAAATCGACTCAGCAATGTATTGTAGACAATTACAATAATACGAAACAGCCGAAGTGTAACGCGATGTAAACTATAAAATCGACTTACTTTCAACGGTAGAGCATTAGCCGACCTCACGTTCACGGACCAAATGATGTGGTATGGTTCGCTTCATTTGTACGACCGCAGTTACACTTAACGTTCTACAAGACTTCTATTTAACTAGAAACCGAATCATTATATAATGAGGCACGACAGCTATTTCCTTCAAAATACTATTACAGTTATCATTTTTTCAGTTCACTTTCACTTGACATATAAATATATAAATGCTAATTCCATTTTTAATAAATTACCAGTATATTAACATTCATTAGTAACAAAGCTTAATTATACTAGAAGATAAACATTTTATGAAATTTGTACTAAAATTTTATATTTCCAAGCTGAGTTTAAAATAAAAAAAAGGAACTTTAGTATTGCAGATATGTAAGGAAATATAAAATGTCTAGTTTATAAGTACATATAAACTATAAAAAATTCACGATAATGTAATATAAAGTTGAAAAGTTGCAAGATAATTCTAAATTCAACCTATAATATTTTTTTAAACTGGGAAATGATGCCAGTTAATAGTTCCCAAGCCTCAAACACATTCTACAGTTACTTTTGCTTTCAAATAATGCCACACAGATTTATTAATTTAAGAACAAATGGTCATCATATATACCAATACCACCAGGGATATCCTCTAAATGTTAGCGACCTAGTGCTTGTTCCCAAAAGCTTAAATAACTATGTCGCTGAAACCATAAAGCAAATGTCGCTGGATTTTCACTATAGTCTTTCATAAAGCCCACTTTTTCTAGACTGATTTTTATATATAATCGCGACATTAACACAATATAAAAAAGCTTCAGAACCTTATAACATATCAATATGTTTACCAGTCACTTCTCTGCCTGATTTTAGTGAATGAATGACGCATGTTTCGCTATCATGCATCGCATGTTTATTTACAGGACTTTATGGAAGTAAAAAATATTTTAGAATCCACATTAAAAGTCAAATTATCTTTGAAAAGAGAAGCAACTGAAAATATTATTCACATTTTAATTTAATCAAATTATTAAAATTATATATTAAAAAATATAAAATGACCAGCACTACATAAACAAAAAAAGTCACGTAAAATATTGAAATACAAAAAATAACTTATTACAAAAATATGCTTATGATCAGTGGTGGATCTGTAAGATAATAGCAAACGTTTTCTTTGCGGTCGGACTCGATCAAAATACCTACAGTCAAATTGCCTACAATAGCAACCAAAGTAGACATTTCCATGTATTTATACCGACCATAAACATAAAATCAATTACCATTTATCACAATTACAAATGGCGCCATTCTGTTCTAAAATTAACTCTATTGATGCTGATAACTAATATGCATTTATAAAACAAAAGATTTTTTATACCGCCTGATGGTAAGCAGCTACCGTAGTATTAAGAATTCCATGCTGTAGTCTCTAAGTAAAACCTCGACCATAACCCGAGTGTTCGCGGAAGCAAACATGTCTGAAACCGCACTGTACACTACCGTCTAGGCTCTAAAGTATGGGTGTGAACGCCTTATCGATGGCGAGCTGTTCGATGGTTGAAAATGGCCATGGGCATCATACTGTTGATGCCTGATCTCTGATCTCTGAGCACAGTCCGTCGTACAGAGTAAGGCAAAATCTCTCCTAAGACTTAAAAGTTCGATACCGTTTGGGGCTGGATTTGTGATTTTGTTATTGTCATCTTTCGTTTTTCTACTGGAAATACTTACAAATACTCTGCTTGCGTAAAACTATTGGATTTATGCTGAAGAAGAGTCTGTAAAAAATTATGAAATCTGACGAATTTATATATATATATATATATATATATATATATATATATATATATATATATATATATATATATATATATATATATATATATATATATATATATATATATATATAAACAATTTTGAGCTTTTTAACAACTTACTTTCCAACGTACGAACAGTATGGAACTGAAGTGTTTTATTTTTGATGACCCATGATTTTAAGAATAATTTCGCTATCCTCTAGGAGACTAACAATTTCGATATCTCCATTTATACATTTTAGATAAAGACAATATCTTTATAAACTTATATATATACAAAGAATGTAAAATAAAAAACCAATTGTAATATTATAAAACTGAGCCTTTGATATATCTAAGGAACATTGGTTAAAAAATATTTTACAGTTTTGTTTTGATTTATAAATAGACTGCACACTCATGTAATGTATTGAATTTAGTATGAAAGATTTATGAAATATATACTTTGAATCATACTCTATAGGAAATTTCGTCTAATTTCAATTTTAAGCTTTGACCGTTACTTTGTGACTTCATATAAAAGCTTACAACATGAAACAAGTCGAACCAGTTTCTATAGAAACTTGAAATTTTGCAAAAATATGCACTTGTTACGTATGTAGTATACTTGCACTAAGAAATTTTATCTGGTAATTTCTACGGCAAAGAAAAATAACGTGTCTAATGGAGAAATAAAATAAAAAAAATAGCATATTACTGCACTATCGCTATTCAAGTATGAACATAATAAAATAATTATGATGTGTAGCTGCAGTTCTTTGTAATTTAAAGGTACCAAGTTGTAACATACAACAAAAATGTTCTTTAGAATTTGTGTTGCAATTGCAGCTTTAGGCGATTCCGGCAATTTGCAACGGGATGCAAAATCTTTGCATTTGGCCTACATTACTTCGCATGTCATTCAACTATATACCTTAATCACAGACCACAATATTGTGACAGATATTAAAAATAAAACTTAAATAAAAATAATACTGACTATGAAAATATTATAACTATAACAAATATCAATTAAAAAGAAATATTAATTAATATCATATTTAGCATTTATAATAAAAAATAAATTGGCCTTTATGGAACTATGAACACAAATTAATATTATTATAAAAAACGTCTTCGCCTTTATAGACAATTATATGTCTTATTATTATACAGCTATAAGTATTATTATTCTAGTTTATACCTAGATATTTAATAATATTTAAACCTTAAAATACTAAAACACTATTTTATCAAACATGAACTAACATTTTAGTGAATTGTGAAAGAAGCTCCACGTATATAACAATACTACATTCAAACGGTAGAATTAATTAGTTTAAGTGTTTAATTGGATACCGGTATTCCTTCCTTCAATCTATTCAATGCTTATTGTTACAGGTTCAAACTACATTCGGACAAGATTACGACGGTAAGTGCCTTATCTATGTATACCTACTATTAAACTGTACATATAATTATATATAATGAGATAATGTGTCTTGTATGTTAGTTATATTATGTGTTATATTCACTTCTATTTTTTTAAGTATTACAGACCTGTCATCTTTTCTGTATTCCGTTCATTATAATATTAATAAATTATAAATACAAGTACGTATATTTTATTAAACTATTAACGTACTAGAATTTATAAAAACGGATTGTCCACCTACAATTACTATAAGCTATTTATTTTAAAAAAGAAAGAAAGAAAAATAAATTATTAAGTGCTATACATGAACAATACAAGTGCTAACAGTAAAAACAAGTTCGAGAAACTAAAAAGGCTCTTCATCAGCATATGTTGAGAGTCCTTATGGCTCACCGATGCTGATCTTCTGTAGGAGCCTATACAAAAAATGCTACGCGCAAAAATGAAATTGAATAACAAACAAAAATAAAACAAATATTAGTGTTATGTTAATATAATATATATATGAGACACAGCCAATATATAAATAAATACATAATAAGTGTTACAGTAGTACAGAAATAAAATAAAAATCTGTAATTTATCAATGAAGCGTGGTACAAAGCTGACATAGTCGCCAGTTATCTGCGGTGCAAAATCTGCTTAATACACGTATCGTTTCTGTATATCTAGGAGATACTTTCTATAATTACATCTGAAGGAACGAACAATATTTCAATATCCATTTATCTACAATGTTTCGTGAAGTACATAATCTTCTATTTACTTGATTAGGTATATCTATCTTACAAAGAATAAGAAAAAAGACTATCAAGTAGCGATCACGCTTAAACTAGTGTAAGTGAAATGGTTGCTACGAGATAGAATGACGACCTCAATATGTCGCAGAGAGATGGATGCATTGCAATTATGATGATGATGATCTATGTAGAAGAAATATTAAATATGTACGGATTACTTCTGTAAATTTGTATATATGGCTCCTTATGGAAAAGTCATTTAAAATCTTATTTCATACCTGCAATAAATAGGTGTTCTAGCTATGATGCTACACAGACGTCGACTAATTCTAACCTGGTGCAGTGCAGCAACACGCGATTGGGCGTTTTATATTTACATTGGTACGGCACGATCACATTATAGAAATTGGTTTTAATTTTCAGACGTGATTCAAAAATTAATAGCGAATTCATAAAATTTCACACATTTCTTTCAAGATAACGAAATCGTACCGTGCCATGCCGTACAGCCCTTTATAACACTTGTCTATTGAAGATGTTGATGCTATAGACGAAAATACCTACTTTAGTCCTCCTATTAGCGACGTATCTGCACATGCGCAACATAGTTACTATAAATCCGTTACGTCTATGATACTGTTCATATCTATAGGTGACGCTTATCATTATAAGCTATCATTGTAAACTAAGCTGCCAGCTTATAGATGACCATATGATATAAAAAGATCGAATTATTTTTTTAAATTTAGAACTTGGAGTCTCTGGATAAAGTTGTTCAGATTCATAAATACTATCATCGTTGTTATGTCCTCTTTATTTCACTTTGTACGTTTTAATTTCAGTTACGGACATCCAATGCACATTCTCAAGCACAGGATCTGGTCTCCGCGACTCAGTGTCAGCTTTGCTCCGCAAACCAGAGGGGTTCCGAGGAGCGCCATTATTCGCCGATGATCGCGCCACCGACCCGGTAGTTGACCCTGTCTGCCAGATTAGACCTGAGTCGGAAGATCCCACGGGATTATTGTATAGACTAAAGATCACAGACTTCACGAGATGTGGGGTGCTAAAACGAAATGTGAGTAATTAAACATCAATTATCATAATACTTACTAAGCTCTTTCTCTCAATTATTTTAATTACGTACTGTATTATTGTAGTCATTATATTAGCCATATAGGTCCCGGCATAGAATAGGTCACCAATTTCTTTCCCGTAGGTTTTGTTAGAGCCAACTAAGGGAACTTAATAGTCGAAGGGCAGACAGCTGCTGTCTGCCCTTCGACTATTAAGTCTCTCTTAAAACATCACGAAATCCTAACTGCGGTTGCTAACCCGCTTGCCAATCGTGGCAACTACTGGCAAACTTCTCTTATGGGGGAGGCTATGTTCAGCAGTGAACAGTTAACAGCTAATACAAAAAAAATACTATATTAAGTACAAAGATAATACTTTTTTTAACAACCTATTACATATATGCTACTTTTGGACATTTTGTGTATAACGAAACCAACCTAGAAACTCTTGACACCAGAGGACGACACTCTAATACGTGTAATTAGTACAGTACGTTGGAGCAAGGAGGCTAGATATGTAGGTATTTATTTCGAGTTTTCCTTTTTTGGATTGATAATGACAACCGAGAGATGAAAAAATCACATTGTCACACATAAACTATAGTTTATTTAAGAATTAGATTTGTGCTCACTACTTAGTAAAAGTAAATTTTAGAAAAGAAAAATCAATAAAATGAACATTTCTAGATAGCGTATCTAGATAAAATTTACACTAATTTTAAATGAAACCTTCAGGAATACTGTGAAATCCACATACAATTTGGTACAGTAGATTTTGCGTGATTCAGAAAATAAACGTATAAATAGATAAAATAATTAACAATTATTGTTTAGCACCTTCATACCTAACATATAAGACCCTTCATATTATTTTTTCTTAATTAAGTAGGTATCTTCCATGTACATCCACCGTCTAATTACAATTTTATTATATTAATAAAATAAGAATTTCCAATTAGCACAAAATTTCTTTCTGTATATCCACAGATAGTATGCATATAAAGCTTTGGAATGGCGCAAAACTGTTAAGAACCTCCTTGGTTCAATGGCAGGCGATATGCATTCTAGCAGCGCTTGTCAATGTAAAATAAAGAAAAATAATATTTGAATAAATATGACAGATTACCCTTTTGTCTTATTTACTATAAACATTGACTGAACTTTCTAACTGACTAATATTAACTAGTGTAAGTAACCAAAATCCTAGTCCTGGTTTTCCTTAACACTGATCCTGATCCCGGCGTTGCTTAATACTGGTGAGTGCTACTGCCAATTTCTTATATTAAAAACACCATAATCATAGTGTTTGTATCCACCTTATTAAGTAGGATTAGCAACAGTAATCATTCCTAAAGCTTCTATGTTAATTCAGCTCAACAAAATTAAAAGACCTACTTCAAACTGTTTCGTCATTTTTAACATCATTAATCGAATGTAAATGATTCTTAAGTAGATTGTTAACATCATGTATCAAAGAATCTTATTACATCCACAAAATTTTCGTGCCTTTTATTGCCAGCTTGCCATGTGATAATGATTGTAGCTATTGTTTCCGCAGTTGTGGTTCTGTTTCGTCAAGTGTGAATCGTGGCATACGAGATGTTTTGTCATCGGTAGATAATAATGCATTCCGTTATGTACTAACAGTACGAGATGTATGGTGACCTACAGACAACAAGCTAGCTACCTATAATACATCTATAAATATATCATTAAATAGCAACCGATGAGAGCGGTACAGTATTGAGGTAAAGAGAAATTACAGCACCTGTATAGTATTATATTCATACGGGATTACTGCGATCAAGCGAATACAGTTTACTACAAGTAATTTGTTCGGATAATAACGGATAGATTCGATTAGACATTAAATTGTAAACGTTTACACCAATGATTATTGACTCTAGCTAAATTTATTTACAACTAGCTATATCCCGCGGCATTGCCCGCGTGAATAAGTACGTAATGTTATCCTATGAGCTATGATGTCGAATTTCATTCGATTCCGTTTAATTGTTTTTACGTGAAAGAGTAACATCCAACCATTCTATCAAACTTTCACATTTATAATATTAATAAAATTGTTACTTCCATTTTATATATTTATTTAGGTAATATAACATTAGGATCATTTCTGAAGCAGTATCTATTCTTTATGACTAATTCTAGAGGATCCATAACATAAAATTTTCGCCTAACTACCTAATGAAAAATTCATATACAAGTTTAAGAAGTAGCGCATATAAACATCTCATATCATACTTATAAGTGCAACATCAATGAAAGATTTTATTGATGTCGCACTTATAAAGTACCTAGATAGGTACTTTGCTTAATTTTGTGGGAATTATCACGTGGTATGCACCAAATATTATTTTTATATTAATTAAACAATTACTTATTGAGTACATTTTCCTTTAACTCTCCTGTACCGCTGTGTTACAAACTAATAACATAAAATGTAAATTTAAAGGACAAAAAAGTCAGAGGCATCATAAAAATCAGAGAATACAACTCTTTAAGTTTTTAGTTACGGCAACGCATATAGAGTTCCATAAAGGTTAAAATTATATATAATTCATCTCCAATTTCTTCACTTTCCGTCGTGTTTGCAATTCACTGATGTCTACTGAAAGATGCGTCAACTGTTTACCTCTTTGTATATTTGTAGCAATCGTTCTCAGCTTTAGTTGTAATAATAACTTCTTGAACTTTGTTGATAGGGATTCGTGCACGTTCGGGTATGGTTCCCGCAGTTTCCGGGAGTGGTGATGCAGTCTGACCAAGAGCTGATCATCATGTGCAAGCCCCCTGAGCCTACCATTATAGAAAATAAAGCTGCAGGCTTCGCGGGCAGTTTGTAAGTATTACTTAAATGAACGCATCGGTACACATGTAATCATTATACATATATATAGTAGTAACTCCTACCTAGTTCAAACTTTGCTGTAAGTATTAGTACTTACAGCAAAGTTTGAACTATTTGAATGAATGCTGTGGAATAAGCTCCCTGTCGAAGTTTTCCCGGGAAACTACAGTATGGGGTTCTCAAAAAGTGTATATTAAGGTTTCTTTAAAATTGGCAACGCGCGCGTGAGTACTTGTAGCCTACGGACGCCTATAACACCCTTTGTGCTGCAGGCGTCCATGGCGTCCATAAGCTACAGTGACCGTTTACTATCAGACGAGCTGTATGCTTGTTTGCCACCCTAATGCTATAAAAAAAACTGCATAGAAAGTTCAGCTCAGCTAATTCTAAATTGGATTTTGACAATTAGTTATTAATACAATCGGTAGTGTTTACTCCTAACTCCTACAGATATCGGTCCCGCGTTAATTTTGTCGCAACTGAAGTCACGGAAAATTTATTTCATTAATTTATTTGAATCTCAATCAAAAAATACTTTTAAAAATATTTTAAACTGTATATGTGCATGACTAAAAATACAGACAGTCTGGATAACAGAGAAATGTGGGTTTGAAGCCCATCGGATCTAACTATCCGAAGGTATATTTTTCAACCTGTTAACAATTTTAGGATTATGTACTCTGTCGTAATCGATATTAATGACAAAGTATATAAACCTAAGAAAAAATTTAAAATAAGTCAAACTTTATTCATGTTTGAATGTCTATTTGCAGTCCGCACGGTGCGCGTGTATCTGGGGTAGTAGAGGAGACTCCTGGACGGTTGGAGTACGAGGTGGCTCTGTACAAGGAAGCGCCGCCAGTGTCGCGCCACACGAACCACTCCGTCGACTTGCCTGTCGATCAGGTAACTGCTGTACGTTCATTTGTTTCAATTTATAGTTAATTACAGCGTTAGTCGTAAAGGGTATACGGTATATCGAACCGAAACCCAGAAATAGTGATGAAACCGAACAATTAGCCTCAAAAAGAATTATCAACATTTATAAATATTTTTCCAATTTCTCATACTAAATGGCTCACGTGACCGTGTGCAACTTATATGTAAATTTAAAAAAAAATTCCACTTACAGCAATTAGTACCACTGAAGCATTGCCGAATGTCAATGCTTCAGATATTTGATGATTCCAATAGTTCATTACTAAAATAGGTATTATGCCTACATACCTTTTAATATCACTGATATATACCTACCATTCTTTAAACAAAAATTCAACTATGCAAGTACAGCTACTTGGCGGCAGAAATACGAGTAGGAAAGAGATAGGTACCCAAGCAGATATACAACGTATCATTCTGATGACCTATTTGACTTTCTGCTAGCTTTCTATTTTACAAAATTTAATTTGCCTCTATCATTGTAAAATAAAACTTCAATTATAAATTTATATTACTAAAGTTAAATTAGGCAAGTATTTTGGTAAATTAAAGTTATTCGCAGGCGGTCCCGATCGGTACGAAGTTGCAGCTGCGCGCGCGCATCAGCGCAGACTCTGCGTGGCGTCATTTAAAGCTGCTGGAGGTGGCTGTCTCTCCTGATCCGGACCGACCACACGCGCCTGGTGCCGTGCTACTCGTCAAAGACGGGTATCTATATCTATATATCTTCACAACAACTCCTTTGATGGATGATGCATTTGTTTAACTTGCACATTTTATTTGCCTTTGTTAGTACATATATTGTATTTTTATAGTTTCTTATTTAGTAACGTCAAATATATTACTAAATAAGAAACTATAAAAATACAATATATACAATATAATATATGTATGTTACTACTGATAATACTATTAATTTCTAGAATAATTCAATAAATACTCGTAGTAATGGTTTCAAGATTTTTATGCAATCATATTTTTAAATTTAAATATATTTTGGTTCTTTGGAAAAAAAATATAAGATTTTCAAAAGGAAGGTGATTCACGATTCGTTGCATGTACCTACTTACGCAATCACGTCGCCAATATCGAACTGATTCTTTTTTTTTCCATTAAGCTTTAAATTAATTTAGTGATGATTGTTTGGTTGATTATTATGGAGCAAAACCATTGTTTTCCAAATATCGCATAAATATTCGATTTTGATTATAAGGTATATGATTTGTGCGTATTAGTAGTTGATAGAATATTCGTTAATGTATATGTATTTACTTTATAATATAAGATTCATAGTAAGGCATTTTAAAAAATAGTAAAAATGTCCCAACTAATTTCACATCTAGATGCAACGTTTTGTAGTCACGGGATCATGTTCAAATTCAAATACTCCCATCACATATGACTGTGTTACCATGATCATTTCTCTTTCACATCACAAAGGTGTCGTAACCGTGACTTCGCGTCAATCATCCCACACCAGCCGGCGAGGTACAGAGAACGGCATAACGAAGTCTTTTTGGACTTTGAAGCATTCCTACTGGCTTCCATGAAGGAACGCTCCACACTTTGGATACACTCACAAATTAAGGCGTGCATGGACGCAGCTGACTGCCAGCCCGATTACTGTCTTGACTTATTTGAACCTTCAGGTACGATCTATTCCACCAATATTATCTAAACTAACGTCAGTTTTATCTATCTTGCTAGAAATATTACTAAAGTAAACATTTTTTATACATAATTCCATTATTTACACTTTATTGTACACTAATCGAGTTACAGAAAAAATATTGTACATTCTATTGCAAAAATATACTCGTATGATGATTGGTTTTATTATGAGATACTAAAACGTAAACTTTAAACATCACCGACTTTAAATTTTACACTATTACATTATGTCCTGTGTGGTCCCGGCATAGAATAGGCCACCCCTTCCTTTGCCGTGGGTGTCGTAAAAGGCGACTAAGGGAGGACGAGGGCTGAGCAGCAGCGTTCTCTTAAAACATTTCTAAAACCTAACTGCAATTGTCAACCCGTCTGCCAAGCGTAACAACTACTGACAAAACCCCCCTAGAGGGAGGCTTATGTTCAGCAGTGGACAGTTAAAAGTTGATATAATGATGATGATAATGATGATATTATGTTTATGAAACGAATTTTAAACTATTTCTATCTGATACAGGATTTCTTTACACCGTTAGATTTTCGACTAACCTATTTTTTTTTTTATGGGTGAAAATGTAATGGTAACCCCGCCTGCGCTAACAGGATACGCGGGCGGAGCACCAGTGAAGGGTGATAGATGAGAATGAAAACTGGCCAGTTAGTCCATCATGATGAATTCATCAAGAATTAATCATGATAGTTTCCAGGGGGAACCGCTAGTAGATCGATCTGGTTGGGTATATTGCTAGCAATGGGATTGTCAGTGTCCATTACTAACAATCCCTTTCCCCAAAATCGATTAATCTATTAAACTACGATATTTATAGGTCATGGCCGGCGACGAAGATCTTTGCCCGAAGTGGTTGAAAATAACAACGCTACCAACTCGGCTCTGAGCACCCACAATAGTACAACGCCGTATACAAGATTCAAGGAGAATCTAGAATACACAGTTGTCATGCCGGGAGAGTTGTTCCATAGGACGCCATTAGAGGCGACATGCGCTACTTCCATGATGGTTGCAGTGGTTCTAGGAGCGCTGCTCTTTATGTCTGCTTTATTGGTAAACCAATTTACAAATACTCAATGCACTAAGTTTAATTAGAATTGAATTACTGTCATAAAATCTATCGACTCGTCTAATAGAGAGCAGTAATCATTAACAATAAATGTAAACAAAATCAATAACTTAAAGACTATTGCACTATCTTAAGCACCTCTTATTCATTGCCGCTCGTGAGGACCACGTTAAGCTTATTTCATTAGAAATTGAATGTGTAAACAGGGACAAAAAATATGAATGAATGAGAATGATCCCCAATATTCTTTCTTTATTTGTAATAATTGTTTACAGACACTTATTTAATAAATATAAGTATCATATAAATGTTTTCACTATATTTTTTTGTATGATACGCGAGCTCTTCGCCAATTCTGAACCGATTTTGATCATTCTTTTTGCAATCACAAAAAGAACGACTGGAGTACTTTTTTTTTAACAGTTGGGTTGCTCCAACCACTGTATGTTTGGAGCAACCCAACCGTTTGTTCTAACGAAATTGACAATATTTTTGACCATCAAAAGTTAGTATAAGTACTGATACTTTATTCACAGATGTGCTACCTAGCGACGAAGCTGAACTCAACAATGTTGAAAAACAACAACATCCAGACACCAACTGGGAAAGGGTTTGAACAAATTCTGCGCGAGCTGGCGCACCACTCACTGCCCGACACGGGCTACGCCGGGCGACCCACCGTACAGTGACCGCCATCTGTACTTACGAGTATAAGTGACTTTGTTTTGTAAATAACATACTATGAACCTAATAGGTTCCTCACATAATATCACTAGATATACAAACATGAACTGAGCAATTATCTGGTGCACAAAATAATAACAAAAGACTATAAATTTAATTAGCATTAAAAATATCTGGGACCATTCAGAAGTCATAAAGTCTAAAGAAACGAACGAAACTCTAATCACTATTAGAAACAAACTAAATAAGCGACAAGTGTTTAGGCTGTGTCAGTACAACGAAATGAGATGTCACGTTACGTGAATAAGCGCGTGATATTATTGTAAAAGTAGCTGTTCGCCGCGGTTTTACCCAACTGCATCAATATAACAAGTATTCTATGTGCTAAGTTAGGATATAACCTATCTACCTGTGTACCAAATTTCATTCAAATCCGATCAGCCATTTGAGCGTAATTGAATAACAAACATCCAAACATGTTTACAAATTTTCACATTTATATTTGTAGATAGGATATTGAAATTGCGACAAAACGTAGAAATGAAAGATCAGTAGTTTGATGAATATGACCGTTTCTATAATCATGTAGTACTAATATCTTAACATATAATTTTGAAAGAATTATTTTGTACTCTCAGACGTAACTACCTATTCAAATTTGTATAAAGATATCGAACATTACTTCCGCTTATAGTCTCTGGTACTAAATCCTTCAAATAGATCATAGTAATATAGTTTATTTGCATAGATATCTAGACGTAACAGTGAACACGTCCCTATAATATTTTGATGATTTACAAGCCAAGTTTAAACATCTAATTCTCTTTGACTTATTTACTTTGATTTATTTACTTTAATTAATTCTATTATGATACACAAGAGGAGAATAAAATTTACAATTAAAATTAAATTAAAAAAAAATTATTGGTTCCTTGCCTTCGAATGTGTCAAGTATCTGAAATGTGTTCAATTAGAATTATTTTTCAACATTACATGAAGCTGAGGAAAAACTATTAGTAATTTATATGCACGTCTAAATTAGTTCGTCTCATTAATACATGTATGTATACATTTACGTTATACAACTTTAGACCTTAGTTACATATCTTATTGGTTATGAATAGTTTAATTTATAATATTTATATGTAGTTTTAATTAATTTATTAACTAATTTATACTTAAAAATAATTGAACTTATGACTGAAAAATCCCAAGTCGCTTTTCATGCATGTATGACTAAAACTTTTTCAGTCATGACCATCAAACATTTTAATTAGCCATCGACCTTTTGAAATTAGTAGTACTTAATTAGGTAATAAGTACAATTATAGTAAGTTAGGAAAGTTGTTAACTATACGATTGTATCTATTCTTGATACTACTTCAGAATATTTAAAATGACCAGTTAAATTTACAATATCTTATATATTTATTAATATGTTAGTCGTACCTAATTGTAATTTTAAGGACGAAACAGGTTAGCTATTTATTTTATAAGGACAATCTATGGAAGAGTACAAGTGGTTTTTTAATAATAAAATACTTAATACTTACAATAAATAAATGCAATGAGCCGCCTTAAAGAACAGTGCTTATTGTTTAGGGTTAATAAATAGCTAGCAAACTGTTATACTTCGATTAAATTTATCGCTTTACGCTTAGACAAGACATATAGCTTTTATTAAGTACGTAGGTGCCGGGACTAGATGGGAATATAATTAAAAAAAAAAATGTTTAAGTCTGCATGGACAGGCTAATAAATGCCAGTTTGTATACTCATCCTTCTGAGAAAAAAAACTACTTTATTTTTAAATATGCTAAAAATAATTCACTTAGTTAATACCTAATATATATAAGAATGAAATAAAACATACTTTTTAAATAATTATATAATTACTTACGATGTTTTATTTTCCTTCTCTACCCCTAATTCGACAAAATAAGATTAAATTATAGATGAAGCAAGATGTACCTACATGACTATCTTGTTACATTATAGTGATACTTATACTACTACTCTCGTATACATCTCGTATTTTACATATTTTATTTGAAGTGAGTTTTCTCAATTTTACCCCTAAAAAAATTTTAGAACACTTATTTACTAAAGCAAAATAAGTTTGTCTCCACTTTAAGTCGCCGATCGTATAGAACTAGATTAAACCCGTTTTTCGCACATCAATTCAAAGAAAAAAGAATATATATTTTTTTATTTACTTTATAACTTCGTCAGTTTTTTTTTAATGGATAATAATGGAATGGTAAACCACCTGTGCTAACGGTATACACTGGCGGGGCACCAGTGAGAGATGATAGATGAGAATGAAAAAAGCAGATCAGTTAACACTGAAATGGATATAGAATATAGTTATACCTGAAAGGATCTATTTACTAATTACAGAATTTTATTAAAATCGATTCAGTAGTTTTTTAAATCAAAATAACTGGTATTGCCACACTTGAAGTCGCTTTTTTTGTGGAACACAATTTAATTATCTTGTAATTGATGATTTTGATTGCGATTCACAATATTTATCACTGTATGCCAATAGCTCAAGTGAAGATACCAATTCATTCACATCCCATTAAAAAAATACAAAATCTACCAAACCACAAAACTACCATAACTTCATGTATGACCTATATAGATAACTTACCTGTATGGGGGGAAGGATTGTTAGTAATGGAGTTTGACAGTCCCATTGCTAGCAATATGCCTTATTAGGTCGACCTCCACGTGGAAACCATCGTGAACAATTCTTGTTGAATTTGTCACGGTGGACTAACTGACCTACTTTATTGTCACTTATCATCCTTCACTGGTGCCCCGCCGGTGTATACCGATAGCGCGGGTGGGGTTATCATTCCATTATCATCCATTAAAAAAAAAAACTTACCTGTCGCCATTAATTGTCAAAATTAAATATAAGAAAGGAAAAAATCCAATAGTCAAGCTGTCAATAATGACTTAATGAATGTCATTGTCAAAATTGTCAAAGCATTTCCTTCACATTTTGTGAAAATAATGTAGGTAAATAAAAATAAATGAGGTAGTTATCCAATAAGATATTTATTAATAGTAACAGACTGCTAAGTGTTGATGGAAAAATTGAGTAATTTGCTTAAAAATGAGTAAGAGAAAATTAGGAATAATGACTGGATCGGGTACAACAAAACAACCAAGACATTGGTCCTTAGGACTTCTCGGTTCAATGGAAGACCCAGAGTCTATTGTTAAAAAGACAGAAAGGATTGTTGTCATAAGGGATAAATACCCTAAAGCAAAAATCCATTATCTTGTCCTGCCTTATGAGGACATTAACAGTATTTATAAGCTAACCGAAAAACATACTAGTCTGTTAGAAGAATTTGGAAAACTTTACGAAGAATTAAAAGAGAAACATAAGGAGAGTAACCTTCGAGCCGGCTTTCATGCAGTGCCAAGTATGCAAAGGCTGCACATGCATGTCATTAGCACGGATATGATATCACCATGCCTAAAAACTAAAGTGCACTGGAATAGTTTTACAACTAGATTTTTTATACCATATCAAGGTAAAAATATTTATTAATTAAATGGGATCAATCCTTATGGCTCTCTATAAAGAAGACAAATATTCAAATGAAAATAAAAGTTGATATGATGATGAACATTTTAAATTAGTAAATTTCTTAAATATAATAATAATCATCCTGATACTATGGGGCAAACACTTTCTAATTCTCAGCCATGCTTAAAATTACTTATTTTATTACAGATGTTCTAAAAGGTATAAAAGAAGATGGTGGGATCAAAAAAATATCTAATGAACTTCACAAGAGTTTAATGTCAACAGAATTAATATGTAATCAATGTAATTTCAAACCTAAAAATATGCCTCAACTAAAGGAACATTTATTGACTCATGTGAAATAGTTAAATATAATATAATATTTTTTTATTATTTATTGGACTCTGTGTGGCAAGTGATCTGGTCATTAATTTTGGATTCTGTGATTAAAATACTTGCGAATATAAAAATACTACACTGTATTGAAAGAAAAGTCTTCTTTCACCTATAATTTTGCAGATTGGACAAAATGCTTAATTTTTATAGAGTTGAAACATGTGTACTTAGTTACCAATAAGATTACTCCAGATAACTTTAAAATGTTATTCTCTAAAAATAGATAATAATTATTTTTAGTCAATACATTGAATATGGCAGTTCTAATACTAAAATGTCATTCTCTGAATTGTTTGTGAATAGTGGATTATAATGTTTTACTTAATGTTTATTGGAAATATCACAGAATTGGAGTCCATACCTATTGAATAAGTTCAAATCATACAACCTTCAAAGATTATTTTTTTAGAAATTTAAAAAAGGCTGGGATAAGCTGAATTCATAGGCTAATTTCCAGTACATGACCCAATTAAAGCACCTCAGACTTAACTTTTACTGCACTTAATACTTATAATCTGTCATCCACTCACAGACTAAATTCTTTTACCAAAGCATTTATTAGAACCATTAGTGTGATCAAACTTTCATTCTGTTTTTCTCAATTGCTATAAAAGCACATTAATAACTGAAAATTGAACATCTATTTATAATGTCTTGTATTTGAAAATGTGCATTTCAGATATTTGTTTAAAAAAATTTAGATAAAAATGCCTACCATAGGATTTAACTCATGGGAGATGTTAAACAAAAACTTGTATCAGAAACAGAAATATACTAATTTCTTTAGTTCTGATCTCACTTATTATAATATAGTATTTGATCTAATTATTACTATGGTAATTGTTCATTAGTTGATTAGGAATAAAAAATGAAAAGACTTGAAATTTTATCAAATTTATATTCATGTCCAAAAGCAAATTTCCTTAAACATGGATTGCACAAATTTTCTATTAGCATTTAGGATAGCAGTCATATAACAAAATACTAAACTTATTCAAAATAAAGGATGGGAAATAAAAATTCATATCACACTATGTGTGATATGAATTTTTATTTCCCTTTATCTTAATTATATCTTACAAAATTATAGGTTCCTGTCACTCACACTGCATATCTTGCAAGCATAGGCATATATAAGGAGGGAAGCTGGTGGAATTGTATCCACCCCACAATTATCTGGTGTCTCATCCAACATGTGAGACATGACTTTTTTTTTATAAGGAACCAAGCCCTCCTCTGAAAAATAAACTAAATATGCCTACATATTATATACATTATTCCATATGTTTAGTACTTTGACATATATAATTACAATCTTATTTTAAAATATATAACATCAAACCAATTAATAAGTTGCAACTTTTAGACATTGAATAATTAGCAAAATTAAAATAAAATGGAAAGAATACCACTAAATTGAGGAATATTAATGAAGCTGATAATAAAATCCTGTAAATATAAGTAAACATTTTCTTGCTCAACCAAATGTGATCTGTTGTAAATAATGTACATAGTTAAAAAAAATGCAAATAATTTCAAAAGAATTTGTATTACATAGATAAGACTAATTAACCTTCTACATTTAATGGTTTTCTTTTGTATACTTAATGTATAAATTTTAAAATGTAAAATATCACTAATCCAAAATTTTACTTATTTATTATGTTATCAATAATATGTGACATTTCAAATTTTTAGTTTCAATGACTATAACAAATGCTCCACACCTCTACATCTTTACTCTTCTGTAATTTTTCTAATAAAATTCTATTTTCAAAATATGTATAATTAAAAATTACATTATAAAATCGCCTTTAATTTCAATTTAACTAATTCTCGTTCATTAATTACTTATTATTTATTTATCATTCCTTTGACTTGTCACACATAATAGATATTTATATACACCTTACACTTATATTTTCTTATAATTCTATAAAATCAAGAATCACTATAATAATAACTTTTAAATGGTAATTTATTTGATCGTGGGCTATCACTGTCTACCAGACCACTGGATGTATCACTTACAGTATCTTCTCCATTAGGAGTATTATAGATTGATATATTTCTCCTTTTAAAAGCTTTCTTTGTCCCATTTGTTGTAGGAGTAGAAGAGTCATCAGTGGTATTCATATTATCCATAGATGCAAATGTGCTTTCAGGAGAGCATATTGAGTTTTTTAAAGATTCTTCACCATTACATTCTGTTGGTGTATTGGGTGGAGGCAATGATAATTTAGAGCATTTCATTGGGGTGTATTCTACTGAAGATACAGAAACTCTCAATGTTTCACTGGTTGAAGTAACATTATTATCATCAGGAGATGGTTGTGTAAGGACTCTACCTGAGCGAGCCATCACCACTTGCAAAGGATCATCAATACACAATTTATCACATAGATTCATTGTTTGTGGATTCATTCTTGGATTACTTGGTGCACATTTTGGGGCCCGGGGATTGTAAACCGGTGCAGTCCTCACAAAACTATCTTCTTTAATTGTCAGATCTTGCATTATGTTTAAAACATCATTTTTTTCTTCTTCTGTTGGTCTATAATCATACCTAAAAATAAAAATTACACAAACGTTAAATTGGTAAACACTATTACTAGCAAATACTAACATTATGATCCTGGCATCCATTTATAATATTTTATTAATCAGTCATATTAATTTTCAATACTTTTACAAGCTTATTAAATAATATACATATAATATAGACTGTCGTTTGTAAATAGTTTACTTATATTAACTATAAGTAAGCACAAGTTTCCAAAGTCAAAATAAATACAAACATAAAAAATTCAGTTAAATAAATATAAATATTTGGATTGTGTGAGAATCCTTGAGGACTTTGACTATCTGTAGGTGTTAAACTGCTACCTCACCAAGGTTCTCACATTGATTTTAATATGAATTTATTGAATTATATGTAAAGATAAATTATTTTTATATTTATTAATTATTTTATAATTATTATTATATGTAAAGATTTTTATATGTATGGAATAGTAAAATGTACCTTTCATTTCCTCCAGGACCAGGCATATGACAGTCCATATTTTTGACACTCAAGAGATGGTTTGTACTTTTTAATACAGTTAGCCATTCTACATCCTGCTTTAGAAGTTTATCACCATCATACTCTTCAGGAATGTCCAATATTTGCAAATGTCTGCGTTTCGGTAAACATTTGTCTAATGCAAGAAACTTAGTTTCTGTATTATCTTCATGCTTAACAAGTGCAGCAAATTGGCAATGTAGATGAGCTGCAAACCAATAATCTGGTTTCAACTCATGTAGTAACTTTTCCGCTGGCACACTGCCTAAATGATTTGTTTCAATATCTTCTCTGTAAAAATAAATATGAAACTGTTAGATAGGTGTATATGGAGACAAGTGAAACTGAAACCTAATTTATCAAAATTATTTATTTATTCTTTAATACAAGATATATGCACACAGTGAATTGAATGCTAATGTATTCTCTCGCAGCCAATATTAGTGAAGTGTCAGAATGTTTGAATGTGGTACTAGTATTAATTGATATACACACATACTATATTTTTTGGTTAATTAAATATAGGCTATGAACAATAGGTACAGGCTAGATGTAATAATATAATAGTAACAGTAGTTGTTATACATACCTTAAAAATGGTTTTCTTCTCAATAAATTCTCAACGTCACCATAATTAGTGATGCCTCTTGGCCAATCATGGGACAACATGACATGCACTTTTTCATTAAGTTGACTCAATCTGAACACATCTAGTGATCTTACATGATACACTGATCGTAGAGAATTTTGAGAATAAGGTGGACTCTCCCACAACCCTTGTAAATAGTCATGACCTTTAAATATTCCTGATAAACCTAAAACCAAACAAAATTTTCTTATCACACCATCCTAAGCAAACACAAACAATATGATCCTTTTATGGTTTACTTAGGAGTTGGAAAACTTATGTTAATGCAGGCATCTATCATGCATTAATGTAATCGCTGGCCCAATCTCGTGGTGCAATATCAGAAAGGAGAAGGTGGAATAAAAGAATGAAGTCATTCTAAGCACTCCCCATGAAATAGGCTTATATATTGCTTACATACAATAACAAAGTTATAAGCTCTTTTGATAGATAGTAAGTCATCGAAAGCCATAAATAACACTAAGATAATTTTGGAATATAATATTATACTAGGAATGGGCACACTCCTACAAAAGGGTTATGTCTCTGACTGGCTATTGTGTATGAGACTGCACAAGCTATTTTATCTTAGACTAAAACAGTTATTATTATTATATCAGCCATTAACTATCCACTTGTGAATATAGGCCTTCCCTATAAGGGGAGTTTTGCCAATAATTGCCCTGCTTGGCAACCGCAGTTAGGCTTTGGTGATGTTTTAAGAAAGATACTACTACCCATTCCTAGACTATTAAAATCCCTTAGTCCCCTCTTAAAACACCCATGAGAAAGGAAGGTTTTATCATTAGATAATATCCAGAAAACAAATAACAAAATAAAAAAGAAATAAGATTTGATTTCATTTAGAAAATGGATTCTTACCTCCAATTCTTAAATTTCCGAACTTTATAATGCCAGCTCTGCCAAGATAATAAATGTTAGGAGCCACCCAGCCACCATATGGGAGTTCTTGCAAATAGTTTGATGCTTCATGGTTCCCACCAATGAATATAGTCAGTATTGGTGCTCTCCTTTCTCCACTATAATATCTATAAATAACATTATACATATATAGGACATACTTATATATAAGTTTGATGTTTACAAGTACTATGGACATCAGCATACTTAACACATTATAAGTGGGGGGTACCTTTTTTTTAATGGGTGATTATGCAATAGTAACCCCGCCTGAGCTAACAGTATACACTGGCAGAGCACCAGTGATAGATGACGATGACTAGACAAGTTAGCCCATCGTGAAGAATTCCACGAGTAATAACCATGATGGTTTCCAGGGAGAACCATGTGGAGGTCGACTTGATTAATAAAATTGTTAGCATTGGGGCTGTTAGACCCCCGTCATTAACAATCCCTGCCCCCCCGTGGGGCGGGTACTAGTACTAGTTTTGTGGACTGCCGTCTATCAACGGGGTATATACTAGTACCCGTTGGGGGGAAAGGGATTGTTAGTAATGGAGACTGAGAATCCCATTGCTAGCAATATACCCAACCAGGTCGACCTCCTTGCGGTTCTCCCTGGAAACTATCATAGTTAATTCTTGATGAAATCATCATGATGAGCTAACTGTTTTTAATTCTCATCTATGGTCTCATCTATCACCCATCACTGGTGCTCCGCCAGCGTATCCTGTTAGCACAGGCGGGGTTACCATACCATTTTCACCCATCAAAAAAAAAACTAGTACCCATTTTGTGGACTGCTGTCTATCTGCAGGGTGAATATTTGTACCCATATTGTGGACTACCATCTATCAGTGGGGCGGATATTTGTACCCGTTTGGAAAGTACTTATGGTACAGTACTAGTACTCATTGATTGATTTATGAAACATAAGTAAATATTTGTTTTAAGATTCTTGTGGTTGGAGGGAGAGGGAGGTTTCATTAATTTTTAACTTTGTTTACAAAAAAATAATTTAAATGACTTTACTACAGTTCTACATAAATAAGATTTTCATAAATATCATTCTACATTATTTAATGTATTTTTTGTTTATGCACACTGAACATTAAACAATTAAAATTTATTGGTTAAAGGCACAAAAAAATATTATAAAACATATTTAAATAAAACAGTTTTTAGTTTTTTTTTTTACAACACAGGGGGCAAACGAGCATGCGGCTCACCTGATGGTAAGTGGTCATCTGGAGGAGAAGGCTAAGATAGCTTCCAAAAAGTTAGGAGTGCTCAATAGGGTGAGACGATATTTCATGCCAGAACACCGCCTGAAATTATATAAAGCCCAAGTCAGGCCGCATATGGAATACTGTTCTCACCTGTGGGCAGGAGCGCCACAGTACCAACTCCTTCCGTTAGACCGCATTCAGAGTCGGGCGGCTCGAATTATCGATAGTCAACGCCTTACTGTCCGACTTGATCCACTGAAACTGCGCAGAGATGTTGCATCTCTGTGCATCTTCTACCGAATTTATCATGGGGAGTGTTCTGAGGAATTGTTCGGATTGATACCTGCTGCTGATTTTCACCACCATACAACCCGCCACAAACTAAAGTTTCATCCCAATCATCTGGACTCCAAAGAATGGTTGTGCGTGGAAGAAAGTGCCTTGAAAAACGCACGGTGGAAGACCGCCACTCGTCCAGATGATTGGGATGAAACTTTAGTTTGTGGCGGGTTGTACGGTGGTGAAAATCAGCAGCAGGTATCAATCCCAACAATTCCTCAGAACACTCCCCATGATAAATTAGGTAAAAGATGCACAGAGATGCAACATCTCTGCGCAGTTTCAGTGGGTCAAGTCAGACAGTAAGGCGTTGACTATTCGTCTATAATTCGAGTCGCCCGACTTTGAATGCGGTCTAACGGAAGGAGTTGGTACTGTGGCGCTCCTGCCCACAGGTGAGAACAGTATTCCATATGCGGCGGCCTGACTTGGTCTTTATATAATTTCAGGCGGTGTTTTCGCATGAAATACCGTCTCACCCTATTGAGCACTCCTAACTTTTTGGAAGCTATCTTAGCCTTCTCCTCCAGATGAATCCGCAAAACTGGACGTCGCAAGATATATCAACGCCCAGAATTCCTAGACTCGACTTTTTATCAAGGGAAGTGCCCTGAAAGTGAGGAGATATGACAAACAGCGTCTTTTTTTGTGGTAAACGCGGAGACTTGTGTCTTTTTAAGGTTAAATTGGACAAGATTTTGTTCACCCCAGATCGAAACTTGATGGAGTGAAGTTTCAATTTCAGACACAAGTCTATTCCAGCACTCATCGGTATGTGCTCGCGAGATCTTTGCATGACCGGTACGAAAAAGACACGAAAAAGAACAGGAGCCAACTTGACTATTTTGCAATTGTTACATTGTTTCCATTAGTCTACAGTGTAAATATATTTTTTGTTGAATAATAAGAACAACAGATAAGTATAAAATTTAATTAAAATCCAATCATTACTTTTAAATATTTTGCTAATTTTCAAACGCGAATTTTTCGCTAACCTCACAATTTTCGCTCCCTACGCAGTATCATCAGGGTTATAAGAAAGCCCGCTTAGGATGTGTTAATAAGAAAAAGAATTCAGAGTTCAGTATGGCTCAAAAGGAAGGCATGCGAGATCAGAATAAAAGTAATTTATATAAGTATACACATACATTTTAAAATAAGGAATTACAATAAGAGAAACTTACTTGTGAAATGTGCAAATTCTCTGATATTTTTCAGGGACCGCCATGGCTTTCAGATCTTCATTATTACGAACTGACTGAAAATCTCCACAGCAGATTAACAAATCAATTTTAATTTTCTCCCGGTCTTGTAAAGTTTCTATACATTCATATATTTTTTCTAGCTCTCCATGAGCACAACCTTCTACAGCAATTTTCATTTTGAACACAAAAATGTAAATTATCTAATATTGTATTTCAGTAACAGAATAAGTGCCACAGTTTTTTATATATAGTTTATACTACACGGTTATCCGTATATACTTATTTATACAGAATTATTGAATAAATAATGAAAATACAAAAGGAGCAACTGTTTAATCTAAACAAGTCGAAAACAGAGACAAAACTAACATCACACATATTTGACGTTTCAATTTTTGACTCATACAGGGTTGCCAGATGCAATTTATATTTTTACCCAATTGTTAATTATTGAAGTCGATTCTGAAATGCCAATACTTGTTATCGCTCTAAAATTAAGACGTCAATTTCATGCAAAATCTTTACTGTAAGGATCATTATGAAATAATTTTCTAAAAGATTTAAGTCGAAATTAATTTTATTTTACTTTTAATTTATAATGGTCCATAAAATTCACTGATACACTAATAGTTACACTAATATTTTTAACAGGTTTTATAACAAAAAAGATTTATACTGTCAGCCTTGTTCTATGTATATATATTCAAGGGAGATGCAAATCTTCCTTGAATATATATCCAGCAAATTATACTTTTGCCAATTTACATTTTAAAAATTAATAAAAAATAAATTGTTTTTAACAAGACGCATGCAATGTTGTGCGTGCAGAAAAAATTTATATTGTTATTCATTAAAATACGTACATATTTAACAATTTGTTGAATACTTCAATTACTTATTTCTTATAGTGTTTTCTATTTTTACCCTGCTTTATATATTCTATAAGATTTATAATTTACAAGTACCGAAACTGGTAAAAGATACACTTAAATTTCTTCAACTAATGTCACTTTTCTCTGAAAATTTTTCCAAGAATTTCATTTCCCCGAAATTTTGTAAACAAAGAACCTTTTAAACAATTTTTCGAAAAAAAATCAGGAAAAAAATATCTAAACTAGCAACACTAAAGTGAAGTTTATTTTTTATAATGGTTTTTACGGCTCTGGACGCTAGCTCCTTAAGCTTAATTCAGTTATTTCTGAATTAGTGAATAGACTATTCCATTTTTATAAAGTCTTCATAAAATTAAATAATATCAACAGTATTAGTGGTATTTTTAATATTTCTTTTTAATTTTTAATTTATTTATTTTAGATAACTTGGATCCATTTTTGTTAGTTAGTGTGTGTCTAAAAACTATGTTAATACTAAATAGCAGATTTTTTTTAATAAGGTTGGTTTCATGCCTGTTCACCCCGATTTACAGTATTCTTTGAAGACATTAAATGGCGAGAACCCGATGTCTTCAGAGTACATTACAATACAAATATATATATACCGACACACAGAACAGAGTACATTATATATATATATATATATATATATATATATATATATATATATATATATATATATATATATATATATATATATATATTGAGGCACTGCACAGTATTTATAATATGAGGGATTCATTATTTCTTAATAAAAATAATTGACTGTCCTAAACAAACACGAATGTTTCGCGAGGCGTGACGTCATTCAAGACGCCATGACAGTCATGGCCTTTTTCGATATCAATTTTGAATTCATTCCTAAAAATGCAAAATTCCTTGGTAAAATAGCTTATTTTTCTTAAAGTAATATATTTTTGGGGTAAAATAGATACCAAGCTATATTTTTAAACTCATTTCCAAATTTTGTCAACTAGCGTATTCCCAAAAAAATCATAACTCATACTTAAATCTTCTAACAGTTTAGTCTTCTTTATATAAAGTACATTTATCCTTCGTCAGAATTTTCAATCTTTTAAAACGAATAAGAACTTTGCAGTGATCGAATGTTAACTTGTTTATTGCTGTCACAAACTTTTTAATTATACAGTACTATTATACCTACTTGCACAACAATTAGTTCATTACCTTAAAGTTGTCTTGAAAAGATTGCTCTCAGCAATAAGACCGCCTTACTGTACTTATACAATTGTATCGTTGTGTTTGTAAATTGCCTTGCTTCTTTCCTATATTGTATAATGCAAATAAAGTATACTCATTCAATAATTTGTGCTTATTTGTAACTCTTGTTTTATAATTATATGAAAAAAATAATGCAAAAAGTCAAACTTCCCGTCTTGCCCTCTAGGTAGGGTAAGATGAAGTACCTCAAGGAGCAAGATGGGGTAATAGGATGAATGGGATGATGGGTACATCGCAGCTGTGCTGATGAGCTGTCAACTTCTGGTTACTGACAAACTTCACACGTAGTTAAGTTACTTGTTTAAGTTTTTAATATAATAGATATTGATTGTACAAAGTCATAAAAAGGGCTCTATATGATTTGATATTTACATCTATTTTATATACCTACTCCTCCACATTCATTAAAGCTATTTTCATAGGTAAAATTATAATTAAGTATATTAAGTGAATTTTTGGGTTTCATAAAACTCTATGCACAATAGGTGCCGCATTCGCTCATAATGCAACAAAAATAAATGCGAATGTGACGTTCTAAGCAACATTTGGAGCGTTTTCTAAAGGATAAGAAGGATATTTTGCATCGATTCATCACCATGGATGAGCTCGTATGGAGTGAACCAGGCACTTCGGCTCCAAAGTCCATGTCCAGAAATCAGCGAAGGTGTTAGCGGCAGTTTTTTGGGATGAAAAAGAATTTTTTTTTGTGGATTATCTGCAAACTGTCAAAATAATTTATTCTGAATATTATTGTAACATTTAGAACCAATTGGATGAAAAAATTCGTAAAGAAAATCAGTTTGCAGAAGTAAAAAATATTTTTTCATCAAGACAATGCATCCACTCACACAGCTCAAAAAACTATAAACTATCACTAAAATAACCAAACTAAAGTGCGTATTGTTGCAGCATCTGCCCTATTCGCCTGATTTATCTCTTGAGTTCTGGCTGTTACCTTACCTCAAAAAATTCCTTCGTGGGAAATATTTTTCATCAAACGAAGAGGTTATAGCCGTCATAGAAGAATATTTTGTAGGCCTTGCAGAAAGTCACTTCCGTACTGGGATAAACAAGTTGGAAGATTGTTAGACCAAGTGTATTGATCTTATGGAAGATTATACTGAACAATAAAAATAATTTCACTAAACAAAACGTATTTTCATTTCCGCATTAAATATTTTTTAACAAACTGGTATATTATCATTTTTAACAATTTGTGCTATTAGAGACTCCGTATTAAAACTATCTTTAGATGCGTTGGTAGTTCTGCTCGTCTCAAACTTATTGAAGTCAGGGAAATTTTGTTCATAATTTCTAAAAGTAGTATTATTAATTTAAACATTGCTTACTACTGTTGCTTAATTTATCTTATTTATCATCATCAACACAGCCATTATCTGTCCGCTGCTGAATATAGGCAGGCCTCCTCCATAATCTGCCATAAGGAACGGTCCCGATCCACCTGCAGAGATTTTGATATTTGTTTTTTTTTTTTTTTCTTTTATGTCTGGAGTTTTGTTATATAATAAAATTTACCTATAATAGGGACTCACTCTTTTAATTTCCATTTTTGGTTCCGGAAGAGCTAACTGGTTTGTCGTCTATTATTCTTATTAAATTCAAAATATGTAAGGTTTTTGAGTACCAATATGGCCATTTCTAAGATATAAATCGACGATTAAGTTAGTATTTTTACCCTTTTAAAATGAGGTTTACAACTGTCGGTCCGTTTGATATTAATTATTATTCACATACACTTTTTCTGCATTATACCGTAACTTTAGATTATAACCGTAATGTAATCATGCATGTGCATATGCGTAATACGCTGCCAGGGTACACACATTTGTATTCACAGCAGATTCCTCACGGAGAGTGTCCTTGCGGATTATAGTAAAAAAATCTTATCAATAGTCGTATTTACTATATAACTTTATACAAGAACTAAAACATAATTGTTAAATAAATTAAGTAAAATTTTTTAAGGAGCTTCGTATTTTCCGATTACTCTTCATAAAACCCGCCAAGAAAGTCAATGACATAGCACATGTAGTGTTGCTATTTAAAAAAAAACGTTTAATAATAGTTATTAAATGTTTTATTACATTTTTTATAACAATTATTATGTCTTGACAATAACAAAATGGTATTCCTGATTTTTAAAATAGTTATTCTAATATTTATTATGTTTAAATGAATATTTAAAAAAGCATATAAAGTTCAATCTATCTACTTGTTACAGATCAGAAAGACTATTATCGAAGATACTAGTCTTTCTGATCTTAAACTTTTTATATTTACATTTTTTTTTTATGCAACTTAGAATGGCAAACAAGCTGACAGCTAGACATAACAGAGTATACTATTTCGTCCATACAACCCTCATGTGTTGTCATTCCTAAGGGTACAGGTCATTGGAATCTATTATTAGTTTTCATCATTTTCAAACCATTTTTCTTTAGGGGAAAGATTTAATTTCACTAACTAAACAAATAATGCTAATGATTTTCACTTCATTCTGTATTAGAGTGTTTATAATAACACACGGCAACATCACAATTATCTGCAGATTCAATCAAAATTAATTGAACATTTCTAAATATTTCTGATTGAATTATATACGCTCTTAATTGTATTCATAACTTTAGCTTACTGAAGTGTGGCAATATTACATTAATCTGTCAATTTTCGAAAACAATTGAAATCTAGCCACAGTTTATCTTTGACATGGTTAATAATAATTATAATACCTACTAAGGCTGTTATGTATACCATGCTACAAGTATATACTTGTAGCATGGTATATGAATAACCTAATAAATGAATGAAGAACCATATTAAAAATGTATTTGTAAAAACGACGTGTTATGAACCGAAAAAGTCTATTTACATAAACTTGGGCTGCACTGACCAATGGTTAATAATTTGTATGTTACATGCCTTCTGCATACCTTGACAACTTAATTAGCGGTTACATTGCGAGAATTGGGCACAAAATTAGACCGCGCTAATAGACGAAGTGGAAGGTTTAATGAAAATCATCTAATTGTCCGTATGTTTGGTCATTGGATATGAACCTTTCTGTACTCACCCATCTGGTAGTAACTTTATAAGTGGTTTGGTAAATGTATTCAATGCGTACGTCTACGTAGGTTTGTACAAATTTGTATGTTATAAAAAAATATATATTTAAGTATAATATATTAAACACACTCTCACTTTAGTCGTACGCTCTACGCGACAGAGTGGTCGTGGTTTTTACGATGATAATGGATCGTCGATGAATCCTCGCAATATATCTCCATCTACTTCTGCTCACAGCCGAGCAAGAGCATTCCTCAATAGACTGCTGTGTGACCGTTTTGATGAGGTCAGTCCAACTTGAACACTACTGATATATTATTAAGGAGTTAATCACAAAAATGGACTATGTATTAATATAATTAAGTAACGTGTACCACGGTGTGGTCCCGGTAAAGAATAAACCACCTCTTCTTTTCCTGTGAGTGTCGTAAGAGGCGACTAAGGGAGAGCAAGGGATGGGGAGCAGCGTTCCTCTTAAAACAACTCTAAAGCCTTACTGCGATAGCCATTCTGCCTACCAAGCATAGCAACTACTGGCAACCCCCCCCCCCCCCCCCCAGGGGGAGGCTAATGGGCCGCTTTAATATAAAAATGGTTGAATTTAAAAATAATCTGCAAACGCTAAAGGCAAGTACCTACCTATATGTATAGCATGATATAACCTAACGCTCTAATAAAGTCAAGGTTGGAACCGCACAAAGGCCCTTAATCCATTACGTCATAGACAATATAAACCTTCATACGCTGTTATAAGTACCTACACTCAAAAGTATTTTCTGCATTCTGTAGCATTGTACTCTAGATTCGTAATATTTTAAAAATATCTATATATTTAGGTTCACCATTAAATAGGCACTTTTTTTTATTATTTATTTGTTAATTTCATATTAAATTCAATTTCTGTCTGTCTATTTAATATTTTACTAAGTATTAGAATTATGTGAAATAGTGTAACAATAAGGTTACAAAGCGGCCAAAAAGCACGAGCTCTCGGCTTGAGGTGGACCTTTGTTCGTGAGTGAGCACAGAAAGAATATAACATTCATAGCATACCTGAGTTTGTAGAAAAAAAAAATTATTTAATCAATTTAAGAATTAGAATATTAACTTAAGAACATACACGATACATATAAATAAATTATCAAGATGTCAACGAGGTATTTTAAGGTTAAATCAGAATAAATTGCAATAGTGTTAGTAAATAAATATTCATATTTACTTAATGATATATATATATATATATATATATATATATATATATATATATATATATATATATATATATATAAAGGAAACTACAACATTGTTACTGCCTCTGGAAGCCTACCATCAGCTTATAAGAAACCATCTTTATACAGGGCAGTTCAAAAGTAGACCTTAAACACTATTGTTTAAATTCATACCACGACGCCTTTAAAGATTAACTGTTTAAAAATTGTTTTCCATCGGGTGAATAGCTGAAATTGTCTCTGGTCGTCTGACTTAATATTACTTTACCGCGAACATTCAAACACTTAAATAATTATTACCAAATTTTCATGAATATTGAATAATATTGAAATTTCATGATAATTATCAATTTTTATATAATAAATATTATGAATTTTTGTTAACTCGATAGAAAAACCCAGTGTTTTTATAATTTAAATCATATTACAAGTTAATAAAGAATATTAAGAATTTTAATGTCGTCACTCGAAAAGTTTTAAATTTCAAGTGTTTTAAAATAAAATAAAAAAGTTGAATAAATCCAAGCTTGCTAAAGTATTTTTAAATGTGAACCGTGGATTGGGGAATAGCACTTTACTTTCAGTATTTGGCTATCCTTTGTGCATAAAGGTCTTCGAAACTATAATGTCGTGAGTAACTATTTATTGTTAGTTTAATAAAATTTCTTTGTATATTAGCAGCCACGTATGTTATATTATAGATCTATCTATATTTTTGTGTTTATTATTATATGAATTGCAGTGAAACACAACAAAGCAGACGGCGCGTCACATATACCGAACTGCAAAATTTATGAGAATTTCTTAAAGATCATAGGGAAATTGCAGTTGGGTACAACAAGTCTGCTCAAGCCCGAGAGCATTTGAAACAGATGTGGTTAAGAGTTGCATCTGTATTGAATTCTGTAGGTGAAGGCGCTGTTAAGTCTAGCCCCGAATGGTCTAAGGTACGTCCCAATAAGGTATATTTCCTTAAACATCTTTTTTATATTTTTTTTTCTTCTAGTATTGGGTGGACCTCAAAGCTAAAATAAAAGGAAAAAACCGCCTGAGGAGAGATGCCTCGAGTCAGACAGGAGGAGGTTCATCAATTTATGAAGAATTGTCAGAAATGGAAATAAAGTTCCTGTCCATTTTAGGAGCTGACTATGGTTCTGGATTACCTGGTGTACAAGTGCAACCAATTCTGACAGAAGTAAGTACTCTATATATTTATTTCAGGTACCTATATCCTTATTTTATTGTTTGATATAAAGTTAAGTACTGAAAAAAAATATCTCAAATGTTGGGTACATTTGAGATATTTTTTGAGATATTTTTGTAAACATGTAGACATTTAATATATCATTTTATAGTTATGTCACTTTATTGAGACAATATTCATTTGTTTCGTAGGAACCGCAACCTGCTGCTTACAATCCTTCCCAACACACACAACACAGGATGAAGCGGTGACAAGTCGTGCTATAATAAAAAAAAATTGTGCTTTTTAGATAAAAGGAGGCCTCCGATGGTTTTGTTACGCCAGTTTAATTATGTCTCCATTTGCAGGGTAGGAAGTTGGCCAATATGTTGCATACCTATTACTACCGTAAATCAGTGAATAGAGCATGTAATATTGTAATATCGCTACCGTAATTTTGCACTTTTCAGTGCCGCAAAAATGAAAAGATTACAAAAAAGAAGATTTGCAAAAATGATCTCAGTCTAGAATTGTCACATGTAGAACTATATTTGAACGTTGAAAAATTTTCGTAGTAATTTGCAGAAAGATCTATTCAGTCTTACATTCTACTAATGAGCGTCGAGGAAAGCATAATTTTAAGCTTCTATTTAGGTGCTTTAAATCTTACGTTCATTTAAATGAACTAAATACCAAAGTCACATATAAGTGCCTATTTGCAATTAAAAAATAATATCTAATATTTGTATGGTGTTGTATGAAATTAATATGACTTAATTTATTTAATGAGGTTTATTCATAAAGCATAAGTGTGGTGCTGTGTACGTTGTAAATTTCATAATATAGTAAATTTTGCGATTTTATAGGTTCTGATACCCTGGTGGTGTCCTGGTGTCGCAGTTATGAAAGTATACTGTCGTTTTATCATACTCTTGTAGAGTTGTAGTCAGGGGTAGGTATAATTATAAATGCAATCCTAAATACTATATATTCCTCACGAGTAATTCACTGTTTATATTGTAACTTCTTGAGGTAACTTCAGTATAACGGTTATATAGTAGATATTATTTAAAGACATTGGAACAAAATACAAGTATTTTGAATACTACTATATAACCGATTCGTATGCATTAATTTTATTTTTTATTTTTTTACATATGCATTACATATTGATTCACATCGTCTTTGGCCTTCATGCTAGGAAAATCCTGTGTTATGAAGGTCAGCCTACCGTACTTTACACAATTAAATTTCTTATATAAATTTAAGGAATTACAGAAAATATTTTTTTTTTTTTTTTTTTTTTTTTTTTTTTATGCCACTTAGAATGGCAAACAAGCTGATGGCCCACCTGATGGAAAGTGGTAACCGTTGCCTATAGACATGAGCAGTACTATGGACATAACAGAGTATACTGTTTCGCCCATGATACCCCCCATAACTCCTGAGGACTCAGGTGTTACTCCTCTGTACCCAGTAAATTCACGCCATATCCCACCCTTCAAACCGAAACACAGTCATGCCAACACAACTGCTTCACGGTTGAAACACGAATGGGACAGAGGTACCCAAGCAATCGACTTTTGTACAAAGTCTCCCTCTGGTTGAAACAAATGAAGGTTAAACTACAAATGATAAATATTATTTATAAAATTAGAAAAAAAAAGTAAAAAGTTGGATATATTTGTATGTGGCATGAAGAGTAATATTTATAAGTTGTAGACAAATATATGAGTGTGGGGAGTAGATGAAGTGAATGTATGTGTAATGGCATTTACTTTTCAAATAATATGTTATACCAAATTTATGCCTTTGGAATATCTTTGTGAAACAGGTGAATAACCTTTGGTAGGTTCTTAGCAAAGTAAATACCTAGTTATGAATAAAGTCCAACATCCATTTCTAATTAAGGACAATTGAATTATGCGCAACAACTATCGGTAGCAAGTTCCGAACTGCTAACACTCTGGTAGGCACGTAGATAAAGATGCGGGCGTTGTGACGTCAGAGTGGTCGGCAGTACGCGCCAATCGCACAGCGAGGCGGTGCTATCATGCGCCCGCGCACCGCCCACTACGGCCGCTTAACGGGAAAACTCGGAAAACTTAAAGATGCAGTGCAAAGTAACATTTAAACTAAGACTGCTCTACATTGAATGAGATTATTTTTTCGTTCTAAATCAATATTACTATTAATATTTGAATTATTAATAAACCTGGGTTGATAAATTATAAATATAATTGTTATTTAGTAGCCATAAATCATTTGAATTATAATAGTCTAAAAGGATCATAACTTGTGTGAGCATTATCATACAATAATTACTGTATAAATACCTACGTAAATAATTTATTATCCTTTTACAATTTAATCACTTAATAGATTAAAAATAAACACTGAAGTAAATCGTGCTTAAAGCGACGCTTACTTCGTAATATTTGTACAATAATATTAAAAATGTCAATCCAAAATATCTTGCAAAATAAATAAATTTAGGTACATCATTTTTTCCTTTAAATAATTCATGACGGTATTTATAAACAAATAATCGGATAATCGTAAAGTAAACAAACACAGCACGATATCATAGCGGTTCGCGCTCCCCTTCTGTGCGTTTATAGTTATGCGCTGGAGTATAAGGGACTCTTTATAGTCAGTGCGCGCGAGTCGGTCGCACGCGCGCTCTACACGCGCTCTACTGTACAATAAACTTTGTGCGTACGAAGCTTACTGTACAACTGAGGTTTACTGTATGCTGTATACAAACGTACCGCTTCCGTCCCTGTCAACGATGAGCTGGAACCAACAGCACGATAGGCCCTGCGACAAGTTGGAGATCAACGAGGCTGTTGGGGAGTTACTGAGGAACTTCAACTATGACAATATCGTGCCACAGCCTGCCAAGTGAGTACCTGTTTATATTATTTATCATTTTCATAAATATATTAAATACTTTTGTTATGAATTAAGTAATTTATTTATTTTTAATTAAAGAAAAACCAACAGCTAAATTATTTCATAATAAAAAAAGACAGTAAAATAAAAACAAAATTTAACTAAATGCACATGATATCGACTTACTTACAATCGACTAAATTAAACTTAGGGTAATAACATTATAGCGGTAATAGCAATACAAACATTATAGGTAGGCAGTTTTGCAAAATAAAAAGTTGAAATCACACGTTCAAAGATGAATTATCAAGTAACCAGTGACTCAGCACACGTCTTGTAGATTCTACATTAGAATTTAATAATTTAAATCGAGATTTCTAGATATTTTATTAAAGTTATAGCTTACACGCCAGAGAGGTTATTGTTATTTAAATTATATAAGTATGTAGTACTTACCTATGCTAAATTTCATATCGTTTTATAGAACCGTTAAGACGCCAAGAGATAACATACAATAAACAAACTCACTTTCGTCTTTATAATTTTAGGAAGATAAGAATTTACGAGGTCAACTGTTTTTTTTTTTTGTATATATTTAGTACACCGTATATTTACGGGTTCTGACCCGTCAACACTTTGGTGTTGAGTACCAATATAAAATGTGTATAAAATACATAGTTTTTAATAAAGACAGTTATTATAAATTACATATAGAAATATCTATTTTATGTTCGTACATTCTATAAATTTCTTTAAATAAATGTTTTATGTCAAGGAGTAAAGATATTTTAATGTATAGTATATCATTTAATATATACTTAATACATCTTAACAATTTTCAAATTTTTTAAATATTCATATAAAACTGCTCTTATACCGATCTAAATGTTAATTAATTAATACTGTTTATATTTTAGATTTTAATGAAAAAAAATTCAAATACATAATATGAAATAGGCATTTACTTATAAATAGATAGGTATTATATGAAATAGACGAGAATTGAAAAATACTTCATATATTTGATTGAAATTAAATCTTATTGTACCCACATTTATGGAGAGCTTGTTCTATGACTAACTACAACTACAAGAATAATTTTTACATTAACATTCACAAATAAAAAATATTGTTTACATAAATTATTTAAAAAAAAAAACTGTGTTCCACAAAAAACCGACTTCAGTTGAGGCAAAATCAGTTACTTTGATTGAAAAATTAAACTATGGGACCGATTTTGATAACATTTCTATGGGTTAGATCTATATCTTTTTTTAATCAAAAAATAATTTTCCAAATTGGTTTACAACTAATGGATTTATGAGGTAACAAACATAAATATAAAAAAAAAATACAAATTGAGAACCTTCTTCATTTTAAAGTTGGTTAATTAACAGACAATGCATACGTTGCCTGACTTCATTATAAACACTCTTAAAATGCTAGCATAACCAACTCACGATTGGAGTTAGACAAAGGGATCCCCGCTTGAAACCTGATACACTAGCAATGAGGTTTCAATTTCATAAGCATACGTTCTCCGCAACGGAAACCGCGGTTCTCTCAAGTACTTCCTCGTACCGCGAGTCAGAAATAAATATAATGTAATAACATTGTTAGTACATATATCGCAATATACAATATAATCTAGAAAATGTTTATATAAAGGCCACTGATATTATGTACAAATAACTAATATGTAATTGGATGCTAGAAAGCTTCTCTAAAAATACTTAGTACGCTTTCAAACTTACTAATAGACTCATTTTGACTTATGAAAAATATTAAGATATGAAATTCACTTTTCTATTCAAAAATGGTTATGTGTGTGTGTGTGTGTGTGTGAAACTTAAATATAATAATATTGAAAAAATACTTAACCAGTTTTGAAAATTATTGATGTAGAAAGCTACATTATCAGCGAATAACATAGACTGTATTTTATTTTTAAATCATCATCGTCATCATACCAACCGTTAACTGTTAATTGCTGAACACAGGTCTCTCTATAGGGGAGGGGGGGCAGTTTAATAATATTATAATAATAATGTTATTAATTGATTATTAAAGTATGTTTGTTCGACCAATTATCATAAAATTTGATACACCTACTCGTACACTTACTTCTTGGAGTGTAAAAAGGCGTAAGCTACGTTTTATCAAAGTCACGCAAACAAAGTCGCGGAAAAAGATTAGTTATAAATAAATTAAATTTATTTAAAATTATTAGATGTAGATTTAAATTTTCTACAATTCTGCTAGGTTAGGAACTAAAAAAAATGGGTTCACGCGGACAATGGGTTCCCTCTTAGTTCGTACTATAATTATAATAGGGCGGTACTTAAGAACTATATGAAATAGAGGCATATTATTTACGCTAATCATAATTACGTAGACTTGAGGGTCGCGGTGCTTAAAAGTGATACGCGCACTTGGCTACCTACTTACTTATTTATAAAACTCTGTAACATACCACTTGAACTCAACATTGATAAGTAAATAAAAAGGCAACAATTGTTTTGCATATTGTTAAAGGTTATCAAATGACCGACGCTCTCATTGGTCCGAGAAAAGAAGTAAATATTTTAATAAGTACTTAACATAAACCATTATACTGCAACTGAGTCTGGGCAAATTAGCAAGCAAAATAAATTTATATTTTTCCTCTTAACATACACACAAACAATATTATTAACATTTGGAGCAACCGCAGATTACAATACCGCCATTGAAGTATTTAACATTATTTGCCAAGACGCATATTATGTACTATCAGACATATCTTGGTACATCATTTAAAGCTCCGTTCGTATCCGGAAAATGGGCACTAGATAGTTCTAGGATGGACAACCACCTATTTAACATTTGCAGTTAATAAATATAATATGTTGCAAAATATTAAAATGCGAAAATTTTAAATAATATTAATTTATATTACACCCATTACAACTACCCATCACTCAAGTATTATTACTTCAAGGGATTGAAGTTATATGTCTTTCACCCCTGACTTCTTTAGCTGTGCCTTATCTGCAATTAAAACTAATAAAATTAAACTCCGCTGAAAGAACTGCCGCATTGCTCGTCTATTAACATTAAATATGAAGTTCAATCTCTGATATCAAATTATTTCATAAATAGACATACTACTGTACAATTATTGAAGGATAAATTGCCTTAGCAACAGCTACTTATATCCAAGAAAATAGGTTAGATAATTCTTGTAAACCCACCAAGTGGCTGCTTCCGATGTCAACTCGATAAAAAGCAGATGGCTAGATATCTAGACAAACAGGAAACATATATATATCACTTTAGATAATTATTAAATCCTGAATATAATAAAAAAAAAACAAATATTATATATCGTAATAAAAATTTTCATAAATTAAATTTAACCAAAAATTACACACCTTCCGTATTAAAAATATGTTACGTTCCTCAAAAAACATACCTGTCTCCAATGTTTTGACTTATAAAAATGAGAAGCAACATACAAGCCTAACCACCTTATTCATAAAAACTAAAACTTTCTACAAACCTATTTAACTAATTTTATCATTTTCTTTCAAACTGAGAATTTAGCACGAAAGAAAGGGACAAAACAGTTCAATAGCTAAAATAGGTATATGAGAGGTTTGATGTTTTTATAAATAAGAATGTAAGTTCTTGATTGGTTTAAAAAAAAAAAACAAAATGAATGGAAGAAAATGACGCGTAAATAACACACAAATAGTAAAAGCCTTTTCTTTTTCAAATTCAACAATGACGATTTAAAACCAAATAAATTAGGTTGCAATACATCAATATGTTGCATCTTCTTTTATGTCATACTACTACTATACTGTCCTATTGATAAAAATATAAGCACAGAGGCAATATTTATTATTCTCCACCACCATCGTAGGTTATGTTTAATAATAAAAATAGCAACATTGTCATCGTTTTTTACCATAATAACAGTACGCTTACAAAGTCACCGACGCATCTTGTAAAGAATATTTTTATACATTAGTCCTATCATAATGTGTGTAGTTATTTTGACAGCTAAACAAAGTGGCCTCGGTAACATGAAAATTATTCCATAATTAGTTATAATAAAGTACTGCGCCTGGATAAGAGGTACTAGTTGCCGACCCCGGGTCAGCGGTGCCTGAACACTCGAACCACCGCCCTAATTGAATAGCTACGTTATCCGTTATCTGCTCCTTGTTTATTAATTTCCTATCAACTGTCGGCGCTTCACATCATCATAAAGCTGATACGCCAATAGCTATATTTCTAAATGAATTAAGATTAATTTATAATATAGTACTCCGTCACCACACGAATAATAAATACTTGAATTACGAGTAAATTGAATTTAGAAAATTGGTCCATTACGTATGGCATCGAAGATGCTATCAGCATTATTAAAAGAACATCAATACATTTTTTTATTTAAACAATTTTATTGCATCCAGAACTCATCCGACACAAAATATCTAATGTAAGAAAGATGATGATTCTGTCAGGATTCTTCCTAATTTTGCAATGACGCATGATATCTAACAAGATGACGACTGACGATATACTTTATGACTGTATGATGACTGACAAGAGAAGTGACCAACGAAGTTTATGTAGAAAATTGTAGAGCATTCGAGTATTTCTTCGTCTCATGCTCTTTTACATTACGATTTGTAGTTTCAACTTAACGTGAAATGCTGCTCTCATAACTTGACCAGACCATTTCAATAACGTTTGCTCACATTCTACAAATAACGACTCAAAACCTTGTTTACACTATTTTTCTTTTGCACGTATTATATGGAATTGTGCGAATGGATAAATTAATGATAAATTCTAAGACGATACCGATTCAGAACATATGTTATTCGCTGTCTTAAAAATTACAAAACTAATTATATAAAAATTACATTTTGCAATTAACCCATCCCATGAGCAATTGATATTGTTTCTAAAATTTATAATATAACTGCTTCTTAATATTTCATTAGAGTTAAAAA